GGGGGGCCCACCATCCTGCCTTAGTTACAGCAGAGACCATCCCCTCCTTTCCGACATGTGAAACACCATGTAGCAGGGTGGCCAGCGACGGGTATAGTGAAAAGGGGGCCACAAAGGCGCCAGCAGGCGAACGCCAAAGGGAATCAGGATGTAGAGAGCAACCCTGGGCAACCCAGGAGTCCTTTTTGGCTTCTGGGTCAGAGTCTTGGAGCCGGGTGAGGTTAGTGAGGGACGGCGGTGGTATAGAAACAGAAAGGGAACCTAGAAATGTATCTGGAGATGCTTCTATGGCAGCAGCATGTTTAGCAGAGGCGTCAGCAAATGCGTTACCCTTAGCAACATCAGTATCCGCCATCGAGTGGCCAGGGCACTTAACAACAGCTAGGGCAGATGGAAGTAAAACTGCATACAGGAGAGCAGCGAAGTAGGGGCCATTTTTGATAGGGGTACTGGCGGAGGTAAGGAAACCCCGAGCTTGCCAGAGGGTGCCAAAGTCATGTACAACCCCAAAAGCGTAGCGGGAGTCAGTGTAAATGGTGGCGGAGCGTCCCTCCGCCAAAAAGCAGGCACGGGTGTGGGCAACTAATTCAGCAACTTGCGCTGACGTTACCGAAAGTAAAGGCGCAGCTTCTAGCGTTTCAGAGAGTGACACTACAGCGTATCCTGCAAGGAGACGACCTTGGTTGTCTCGAAAACAGGAACCATCAGTAAACAAAACACGATCAGAGTTAGGGAGAAGGACATCAGAAAGGTCAGAGCGCGGGATGGTGACAACAGAGACAGTTGCAAGGCAGTGGTGGGGATCACCGTCATCAGACAAAGGAAGGAGAGTGGCAGGGTTTAACTGAGAACAATGCTTTATGGTGATATACGAAGCCGACAGCAGTAAAAGTTCATACCTGGTAAGGCGGGCGGAGGAGAGGTGGCCTGTGTTACGTTGTAGTAGGAGGGTTTCCACAGAGCGAGGGACCATGAGGGTAAGAGGAGAGCGGAGGACAAGGGATTCGGACATTTCGACTAGGCGCGCTGCGGCAGCCACAGCACGCAGGGGGGTAAGCCTTGGGCAACAGGGTCCAAAGTGGCAGAGAAATAAGCCACTGGGCGGTTTTTGTCTCCGTGCATCTGAGTGAGGACTCCCAGTGCACACCCAGATTGTTCGTGGCGGTAAAGGGCTTAGAATAGTCAGGCAGCCCTAAGGCGGGGGCAGAAGCCAAACCCTGTTTGAGGGAAACAAAGGCAGAGTTGGCCTCAGGGGGCCATGGCATGGGGTCAGGCACAGAGACTTGAGTGAGTTCCTGGAGAGGTTTTGCAAGGGAGGCATATTGGGGAATCCATTGCCTGCAAAATCGAGCCATGCCCAAAAACTTTCAGACCTGGTGTGGGGAGTGGGGTCAGGGAAAACTGAGGATAGCTTGGACGCGGGCGGGAGAAAGTGTACGGGAACCCTGGGAGAGGAGAAAGCCGAGGTATGTGATGGAGGCCTGACAGAGCTGTAGCTTAGAGGAGAAGCCTTGTGCCCCTTCTTTGCTAGGGCAGTAAGGAGCACTAAAGACTCAGTTTCTGAGGCAGACAACAAAGGGGAACAGAGGAGTAGATCATTTCCATATTGGACTAGTGTGGACCCGGACGGAAAAACAAGGTCAGCAAGGTCTTGGGCTAATGCTTGGGAAAAGTAAGATGGGCTTTCAGTATCCCCCTGGGGGAACGTGGTCCATGTGTGCTGTTCCCCCTTGTAAGAAAAGGCAAAAAGATACTGGGAGTCAGGGTGAACCGGACAGAAAAGAAAGCAGAGCACAAATCAACAACAGTAAAATGAGTTGCACCTGGTGGGCTAGAAGCCAGACTCATTGCTGGGTTAGGGACAACAGGAAAGGCGGGTATAACAATGCGATTAATGGCTCGAAGATGCTGAACAAACCGCCACGATTTACCATCAGCTTTTCAAACTGGGAGGATAGGGGTGTTACAGGGGCCGGAGCAGGGGACAATAATGCCTTGTTCCCACAGGGCGGTTATGACCGGAGCAATGCCAGCTTCTGCTTTGGGGTTTAAAGGGTAATTGAGACAGGCGAGGCAGGGGTTTAGAGGAGTCAACAGTAATGCACACGGGTTCAGTATTTAAGCGGCCCACTTCAGATGGGTGGGTTGGCCACAGAGAAGATGGGACCTGCGAAATTAGGTGTTCAAGGGACGGGATCAATGGGTAACAGGGAACTGGAGTGGAAAGGGAAGTTTCAGACAGCAGGGAGGCCAGAGAATTGCTCAGAGAGGACTGGGGAATTTGTAAGTAGACACCATCTGGGGAAGAATAGATGGTACAGCCAAGTTTACATAACAGATCCCAACCCAAAAGGTTACCAGAGTGGAATCTGAGAGAAGGAATGCATGATCCGCGGAAAAGAGACCAACCTGGACCAGTAGAGGTTTTGAAAGGGGATAAGGGGTTGGGATTCCCGTAATACCCACAGCGGACACGGTTTTTCCGGAGCGGGGAACTGCAGGCAGGTCGGTAGTACGAACTGCAGAGAGCGAAGCTCCCGTATCATCAAGGAAAGGGAGAGAAAGATCATTAATAGTCAAAAGACACTCACCCGTGGGAGTGAGAGGTAGTAAAGGAGCTAAAATTTCCGGAGGTTCCCCATCGTCTCGTCATTGTTATGGGACAAAGTAAGGCTGGGGACTGTCGGGCTGTGCCGACAGGGGGTCTAGCTGGTTATTTACAGAGCTATTAGGCCGGCACGGACACTCGTTCTTCCAATGTCCGGGCTGCTTACAGTAATTACAAACATCCACAAAACCCCAAAATCCACTTCCACGACCCCTCCCGCAACCACATCCCCAGAACCTTCCTCGTCCCCGGTACTGGTTGCCCTGCCCTGAAT